AAAATATTATTAACATTATAAAATTATTAAATAGTATTTTAAATATAAACAATCACAAAACAGTTATTATTTAAGATATTATCTAATATAAATATATAATTTGATTATTTATATATTTGAAATATTATTACAATATATTAATATGCTATTTCTTTATAGAATAATATATTCTTTACAAAAATTATATAGGAAAAATAAAATATATAAATATTTCTTTTATGACTGATCAAAAAAATTTATTAATTATAAAAAAGAAAAATATAAGATGCATTTATTTTTAATAGAAATTTTCTAGTATATATAATTAAAACATATTGAAGCTTCGTAAATATCTAGAAAGTTGAAGAAAGAATGTTTTAAAATATTATGACAACAAATCTTATGAAGACATATATATATATAAAATTTAGCATTTAACAATCTATGAAAAAATTTTCGAAATACTATTAAATAATAAATTCTTAATTTTATTTAATTTGATTTTGTTATTCTCTTTTTCTTTTTAATTAAATAAAAAGGTAACAAGCTAATTATATGATTAAATTGATTAATTATTTAATTATATCGTTATCTTATTTTTATTTAATTAGAAAATTATTATTAATTAGAAAAAATGAACAATTTTAATTAAATAATTCAAATTCGTATAAAATATAAAAAATAAGATTAAGAAATTGACATCTTAAAAAATTATGAAAAAATATTGCAAATATATCATACAATATACATATTTTATATAAAATTTTAAAATGATAATGAATAATAGCTAATTAAAAAATTTGTTAAAATTTCTTAACTAAAAAAAATTTTTAACTAAATTTTTTTTTGAAACTTGTACATGTTGATCTATCGCATAGAAAATTAATTAGATATTTGGTATTAATTTAAAATTATTTAAAATATATATATTAAAAAAAATTATTGACATTTAAATAAAAAAAGTAAAATCATAATTATTTAGTATTCATTCCAAATTATTATTAACATCATTTTGTTTACTATAAATATACATCATGATTTAGTATTCTAAACGATGATTGATCTAATAAATAATTGATTACAATATTTAAAA